CAGCAGAAATAAAAACAGTTAGAGAAAGGAACAATTCTAATGGAATACATTTTGCTATATGTCTAACCCCATGATATAAAAATAGCAGGTAGTTTCATTTATTGACATTCGTTGTTATTGCCGACCACTTGACTCTTTACCAGTTTGTGACATTTAACTAAAATCATGCTGCCAGATTCACTAGTGGGAAAATTTTTATTTTTTTTAAAAAGAGTAAAAAAAAAATTTAAGTTATTGAAGTAGGATCAAAATATTAAAAGAAAATTCTTGCGCGTTTCCAAACTGCAAAAATACGTTACATTCGGTAATGCCCTGCAACTTGTAACAGTGCTAATTTTTGGAGTTCTCGGAATTTTCTGATGGCACTGCAAAAAAAAAATAAATACAAAAATATAAGCTCGAAACTAGGTATTTGTGACAAGAAGTAACCACATAAGATGGAAACTACTGCAGTCTCATTATATAAAATTTTTGTTTATAGGAAAACGCATAGTAAGGCAGTTTGCGTACACTGGTTCGGTTATTTGTACAATGATTTTGGTTATCGTGCCCGAACACGTGACCCGAATCAAAGAAATTTTAACAATACGTCTAGTCAAAGGATTACACCTTAATCAAAAAAAAATTCGGTTTGAAATATGCACTTTTCTGTAAAGTCGGAGGTGGATTTTGCGTAAAAATTCTGTGGATGGACCGGGTTTGGTCTAATTAGGTTAATTGGCTAGCGCGGCCGAAGACCACCAACGCGGAAAGAAGCTTTGCGCAAAAAATACTGCCGATGGCCTAACATAAGTTAATTTTTCTCTGCAAAAAAACTTACCTTACTGCCAATCTGGGGGTGATTAGCTAGGTCCCACTCGCCTGTTCAGCAGCTTTTGGAGGGTGCTCCGGGTGGTCGTCGATACTAACGCTATTCATACCGCTTCCTTTTTTTCCTGATTCGGGCTAGCAACGCGTTCACCAATCGACACTTGCACTTTTTGTATCACTTTTGTTCGTGCGAAGAATTCGACACTTTTAGGCACTCCGCACACGACTCGCCTCGTCATCGTATCGTCATCGGCGCGACACTAATTTTTCATGCAGCGACGATTACGATACGCTAACAGGTCCGCACACAATGCGACTATCTATCGTCAAAGTACGAGTTGTGAAAATGTCGAGCAGCGATGAAGAATTTATTTTATTAAATTATCTCCTACATCGAAGGAGAAATAAAAGAAAAAGGATGCATTGGGTTCATCCATATATTAAAAACAACTCAAATAGAAGATTAATCATTGCCGCTAAGGAGTTAGAAGAAGACGATTTCAAATTCCAGACA